TGTTACTGTTACATGAGAAACTATCTGTTCTGTAAGCCTTCACCTGAAGTACAATAAAATATTTAAAATAATAAAAATAAAAAAATAAAATTAAGAACTTCTGTTTGTCAAAATAAACCATAAAAAGAATGAAAGACAAGCCATAAACTGGAAGAGGTTATTTGTGACATATATAACTTAAAAAGTATTCGTGTCCAGAAAATATAAAGAACTCCTAAAAATGAATGGGAAATAGAAAAACTACCAATAGAAAGTGGTCAAAAGTCTGACAGGCACTTCACAGAAGGGGAAATGTAAATATCCAGTAAACGAAACAATGTTCAACATCATTGCAAATCAGGGAATTAAATCCACAGTGATACCCAGAGATATCATTTGAATCTTTTCTTCTTGTGTCAGTACCATATGATTTTAATTATTGGACAATAATAGTTTAATATTCCCCCTCACTACTTTTCTGTTAAAAAATTGTTTTTCCTCATACATTGTTTCTTCCAAATTTAAGCATCATTTTATCAAGTTTAAAAAAAAATTCCATTCTATGTACAATAACATTATTTTAAAATGTACGTTAATCCTTAGACAATTTACTTGCTGGATCTTTCTTGTGTAAGTTTTATTAATCTATATGCTGCAAATATCTTTAGTAAACTTTTAATACAGTACATATGAATGGTACCACATAACTTCTTGCTGTTTATATTGTCTTTAAAGTCATATCCTTAAATATGCTAATAGTCTGAAGAAAAGTATTTTATATCATGTAGCAGAACATCAGATTTGTTACAGTTTTAGCTATTTCGTGGGAGGTTCTCTGGCATGTTATGCAGGGGGAATGGCAGGAAATACGTTTTATGTTTATTGTTAAATTGTTTCATTTGTTGAGCTTCCTCTAAAAGAAGTTGTATAAATGGGAGGGGATCAAGGAAGTTTTAAAGATTTAAGGTCTGAAGGAACAGAGATGTTTTCATGGGAAATGTGTTTTTATTTTAGTGTCATAAAATTTCCAAATCCTAGATTTTATTATATGTGACAATAAGACAGTATGAATTATTGCTAGTGTAGCTGAGGTTAATAACCTCCATAAGCATGAACTCCCATGATTTTATTTAGAACCCCTCTAAGGTACTTATCAGTATTCTCCACCCCATCTCACCCTCATTAGACATATTAAAGGTACTTAAAATCATTTTTGTAGCTGCCTAAATATCTTATAATGTGGGCTCATAAACTAAATAGGCAAACATTCGTGTTATATTAAATGGCAGCTACACAGCAAATCAGTGAGTGCATTTTGACCATCTTAACAATTGATTTTATTAACTCAGATTTATTCATTAATATTTAGAGAAATATGAAGTCAAGAAAATTAAAAACAGTATTTCTGAAAGAGTCTCCTAAATCTAATAGAGATGGAATTTTTTAAAGTAAATAAGACATAATATGGATATATCATTGAAGTTCAGTTTGAGTTTATGTCAACATAAAAGACCTTTTAAAATCCTATTTTAGGGACGCATCATAAGATAATGGAAAGAGCACAGGCTTTGAAGTAACCTGGTTTCCATGTCTAGCTCTAACTTAGGATAAATTGCTTAATCTTACTGAGCTTTAGTTTCCTTGTCTGTAAAATAAGATGAATCATTATTTCAGAATTACGTTGACCATTAAATAAGTTAACATAGAAGCACTTAGCATACTGTATGACTTATGTAATATACTCAATAAGTGTCACTTCTGGTTTTAAAATTAGAGGTGATATCGTTAAGCCCTTATTATATCCATGAATAAGTACATTACATGGCTATTTCTTAATTCTTTCAACAGCCTTTTAAGGTTGATTTATTCCCACTTTACAAGTAAGGAACATAAGGATTAGTGGGGTTAACATGCCCACTGTGATGTAACTAGTAAGTGTCAGATCTGGGACCCAAACCAAAGCCCTTTTTCTTAACCATTGTGATACACATTGGTTCTTAGCAGTAGCAGGAGGAATAATGTACATATTAGAGACTTAGATCTGGACTTGAAAGTCATTTGGAAAGTATAATTGTGGTAGGGAAAATGAAAGAAAGGGAAACATCAAAGGATTTCAGCAGAAGAAACTTTAAAAAGCAATGGTAATGCACATCTGGTAGATATAGAAGAGTTCAGACAAGGGTGACTAGTGAGATATAGTAAAGGAAAGTGGAATGTGTGAGTCATGTAGTAGGCAGGTTTCCTTCTGGCAACTGTACACTTGCTTTAAGCACAGAAAAAAGAACAGATTGCTGAAGAAACTGCCATAGCATTAATATATGAGTCTGATGAGAATTTTCTCCCATTTGATTTTCTTTTTTATTCTTTTTCCTTTCCAGATGACTCAGGATTAAAATATTTCATCTGTCCCTCCCTTATTCTCATCTGACACTCATATCTTAGGCATATTTTCTGGGTTAATAGAGAGTAGCTTGTTTTAATCTACTCTCTCTTTTTTTAGTCTCCATGGTTTGTTTGCATCTAGTCAGGAAGCTATCATCTAGTTTAAAACTGAGTCACTGGAAGAAATAGTTGTTTTAGTCTGCATGGTAAGATTATGTAATGTAATGTAGAAAAAGTTTATTAGATATGGTGTCTCAATGCCTTCTCCAAAAGTTTACCACCAATACTGCTTTCTCTTTTTTAACCAACATTATGTTAGTATAAACTTCATTTCTTTTCTCCTACCAGTCTTCCCTCCCTTTTTCTTTTGTAGGGAAAGAATTTAAAGGTAAATACAGTCTTTCTCCTCAAAGAAAACTTGTGAAGAAATTTACAATTTAGTATCTAATACAGAAAGTACTGTAGTAAGAGCAGGAAAAGAAATAAGGGAACATTAAATTCTGTGGCATGGAAGATGGTGATCCAATTAATTTACAGAGAAATATTTGAGCAGGTCCTTGAAAGCTTTTTGTTGGTGACAGAGCTAGGAAGGACATTCCAGACAGGAGAGCCACGTCAGGAAAGCACAGAGCACCTCAGGTCTTTCAGTGAATTGCAGCCTAAACAAGAGCTGGCCCTCTACAGGGTCTCAACAACTGTTCATGAAAGAGGAGTTGTAGGCTTAACCTGCAGCTAGTAATCAGCTGGTGACTAAATTATGCTAAGAAGGAAGCCCATGGGGAGAAAAAAAATTCTGCAGAGTACAGGTGAGCTTGAAGTCCACTGCCGGGAAGAAACTGAATTATACTCCTGTAGCTCTCGACCTTTGAGCAAACCTGTTATAAAGATATCCACATGGATGGAAGTGGCATTTATTCCAGAGGTCACCCTCACTTGCTTATTTCAGGAAGTTTTTCCCTCTGTTTTTTTATTGTTTTATTATGCAGATATCCATTGGTCCTTTCGGTAATAGATTGCATTTATTGAGCTTACCATGTGCCAGGCACTGTTCCATGCTCTTTACGCACTCCATCTCATTAACAGCTTTTTTCTTTCTTATGATTTTAATAGTCTTAGCTTTATTTGCCTTCATTTTGAAATCTTACCTATTTTTATTAAATGTCTTTCCTCATTTTATTTTTATTCTTTCTAAAAATTTAGAACTTTTTATTTTATTATTAATTTTTCATTTAAAAATTCTTATACTTTTTGTTGTGTTTTCTTTGGTTTTGTCTTTTTTTTAACCCTGTCTCTTATCCTCTCTCATCTTTTTAGCACATTTGTTATACTTCAATCTCCTTTCTCCTCTTTTTACACCTTTTATTTTATAATTATTTTATGCTACAGGAAGAAAGAAATCTATAACAGAACCTCATCTGAAGACCCATACAGGGTCATTTCTGAATAAACTTGTACCATAATTACTATGAATACTTGGTTTCCTAATTTAGGATTACAGCAGACCTGAATTTCCTATTTGGTAAAAAGTATTGCTTATCTCAAAGAATATAGCAGTTCATAGGGAGAAAGCTTAACTCAGTGCTTCTGTATTTCACCAACACTGTATCCATTAGAGATGCTTTCATATCGGGTAATAGCAAACTAACTTATAGTAGTCTTCTTTTTCCGCATTACAGAAAGTCTGAGTAGGCATTCCACGACTGGTACAGTTGTGCCTTGATGTCATCATGAAGCTGCCAGACTGTCTATCTTTCCATTTTTCAGTCCCTAGTGTATTAGTGTATCACCTCATGGTTGTAAGATGACTGCTACAGCTCCAGACATCATCGTCAGCATTCAAGGTAGAAAAAGATAAGACAGCACTAGCTCATCTGATCCCTTTTATCAGACTAGGAAAAACTTTTCTGAAGCCACCCTCTACCTTCATTCCCCCTGCAGCAGACTTTATTTATTTCATAGATCAAAACTATCACACAGCACCCCCAGATGACGGGGAAGTTGGAAAAGTAAGTATTAGCTTTTTCAGCCTCTATGGTAGAGGCAGGCCAGAAAAAAACGAACGGTTGGGAATGGGTGTATCTGCTACATAAACCCTTTTCTTTGACCTACGTTGGTTATTTCTACTCCTTTTTATTTCTTTCTTCTTTATCAGTCAAGCTCATTCTCTAAAAAGATAAAAATTCTTTAAAGATTAAGATTCTTCACCCTATTATATTTGGCATACGTATTGAAGTTTCATGAAAAGAATAAATTACAGCTTAAATTTTCAATTTTGATTTGTATAGACTAAACTTTATCAAATTATAGCATTATAAAAGCAATTCTGCAGAGGGAATATTTATACTTATGCTTCAGTACTGTCCATTAGAAAGTACTGTTCTGCATAAACATCATATGCCAAAGAAGTATAATCTTTTGTTGTACATTTCCTTTGTTGCTATTTTAAGACATTCATATTATGAGTTAGATGGGAGTTGTTTGTTTTACCTAAACTGAAGATTTCAGTTACAGTAAGTTGTTCTCCAAATTTATAAAGCAGTGGAATCATTTGATACAAGTAGTTGAAATAGTTCATTTATTCAACAAAATTTGTTAAGCACCGATTATGTGTCTCCTTTGCTGTTGAGTCAATTCTGACTCATAGTGACCCTCCGTGGTTTAAAGTCAGAAAAAGTGTGTGTCAGGATTGTATCCTTTCACTATACTTTTTCAATCTGTATGCTGAGCAAATAATCCAAGAAACTGGACTATATGAAGAAGAACGCGACATCAGGATTGGAGGAAGACTCATTAACAACCTGCAATATGCAGATGATACAACCTTTCTTACTGAAAGTGAAGAGGACTTAAAGCATTAACTGATGAAGATCAGAGACCACAGCCTTCAGTATGGATTACATGTCAACATAAAGAAAACAAAAAATCCTCACAACTGGCACAATAAGCAACATCATGATAAACGCAGAAAATATTGAAGTTTTCAAGGATTTCATTTTACTTGGATCCACAATCGACACCCATGGAAGCAGCAGTCAAGAAATCAAAAGTTGCATTGCATTGGGCAAATCTGCTGCAAAAGATCTCTTTAAAGTGTTAAAAAGCAAAGGTATCACTTTAAGGACTAAGGTGTGCCTGACCCAAGCCGTGGTGTTTTCAATTGCCTTATGTGCATTCAAAAGCTGGGCAATGAACAAGGAAGACCGAAGAAGAACTGACGCCTTTGAATTATGGTGTTGGTAAAGAATATTGAATATACCATGGACTGCCAAAGAATGAACAAATCTGTCTTGGAGGAAGTACAGCCAGAATGCTCCTTAGAAGCAAGGATGGTGAGACTTCATCTCACATACTTTGGACATGTTATCAGGAGGAACTAGTCCCTGGAGAAGGATGTGATGCTTGGTAAAGTACATGGTCAGCGAAAAAGAGGAAGACCCTCACTTAGATGGATTGAAACAGTGACTACAACAATGGGCTCAAGCATAACAATGATTGTGAGGATGGTGCAGGACTGGGCAGTGTTTCATTCTGTTGTACATTGGGTCACCATGATTTGCAATCAAGTCGACAGCACCTAACAACAACAACAACAACATTTGTATGCCAGAGTGTATTGAGAGATGAAAGACTTTGATATTTGAGAACTGACTGCCTATGTTCATGAAAATAAAAGCAATTACCAACATTAATAAACAATAATAAAATGTACATAAATATGTGGGTGAATGGATGGACAGACAGATGATAGGTGACTTCTCTTTGTTCTCAACTATGGTAAAAATCAGTTTTACATCCAAAGGAATATGTATGCTTTCACCAAAATGTAATTCATATCGACATAGAAATTTGAGCAATAAGAAAACTATGATAGTTACTCTCATCAAAAAACAACCTAAAGACTGGGGAAGAAATTTTGGCAATAGCATATCTGACAAGGGTCTAATCTCTACATTTATAGAAAACTTCAACATCTCGACAAAATACAAACAATCCAATTAAAAAATGGGCAAAGGACGTGAACAGACACTTCACCAAAGAAGACATTCAGGTGGCTAACGAACACAGGAAGAGATGTTCACAATCATTAGCCATCAGAGAGATGCAAATCAAAACTACAACAAGATACCATCTCACCCTGGCAATAATGACACTGATTAAAAAAAAGCAGAAAACAGCAAATGCTGGTGAGGTTGTGGAGCAATTGTAACTCTTATATACTGCTGGTGGTAATGTAAAATGATATAACCACTGGTAAACAGTATGATGCTTCGTTAAAAACCCAGAAATATAAACAGCATATGATCTAGCAATCCCACTCCTAGGTATATATCCTAGAGAAGTAAGAGCTGTGACCTGAATAGACATATGTACACCCATGTGCATTGCAGCATTATTCATAAGAGCAAAAAGATGGAAACAACCTAAGTGTCTGTCAACGGATGAATGAATAAACAAATTGTGGTACATATATACAATGGAATACTATGCACAGTAAAGAATAATGGCGAATCAGCAAAACATCTCACAACATGGATGAATCTAGAGGACATTATGCTGACTGAAATAAGTCAATCACAAGAGGACAAATATTGTATAAGACCCCATCATAAAAACTCAAGAAAAGGTTTACACATAGAAGAGAGAAACATTCTTCAGTGGTTACCAGGGATGGGAGGGATAATCACTAGATAGTAGATGTGTTAAATCTGGTGAAGAGAAAGGCAATACATAATATGGGGGCAGTCAGCACAATGTGACCAAGGCAAAAGAAGACACTGAGAGATACAGAAGAATAAAGGGCACCTGTGGTAAATACTATAACATATATAATCCTGCAACAACAGTAATATCAAACAAAAATCTGTTAATGGAGACAAAGCTAGATATGTATGCTAAATAGGTGTGAGAGGTCCACGGGAGTACACCAGCGTGCATATATAGGGTACAGTTATGGATATTTATGCATACATATCTGTATGTGCCACATGTATATTTGTATATATAATAGAGCACATGGGGGCAGAGTTATGGAAACTTCTTAGACATAACCACACATCTCGTGGGACTGAGTTACTGAGCTGAAGGCTAAGGACCATAGTCTCAGGACATCTAGGACAATTGGCATAACATAATTCATAAAGATAATGTACATCCTAGTTCAGTGAGTAGCATCTGGGGTCTTAAAAGCTTACAAGCACCACCCAAGATCCAACTATTGGTCTCTACCCATCTGGAACAAAGAAGAGTGAAGAAAACCGCAGACTCAAGGAAACAATTAGTCCAAAGGACTAATGGCCCACATGAACCACAGCCTCCTTTAGCCTGAGACCAGAAGAACTGGATGGTGCCTGGCTACCACTACATACCACTCTGACCAGGGTCACAGTAGAAGGCCCTAGTTAGAGTGGGAGAAAAATACAGAACAAAATTCAGTTCATAAAAAAGACCAAACTTTCTGATCTGATAGAGACTAGAGGAACCCTTGAAACTATAGCCCTAAGACACCCTTCTAACCTGGAAGTGAAACCACTCCAGGAGGTCACCTTTCAGCCAAATAATAGACTGGCCTATAAAATAAACAATAACACCCGTGAGGAATGTGCTTCTTAAAACAAATCAACTCTACAAGGCTAAAGGGCACATTTGCTCAAAAGCAAAGATGAAAAGGCACAAAGGGGCAGGGAAACCAGATGATTGGAAATGGGGGGAAGCCACGGTGGAAAGGAGAGGGTGCTGACACGTTGTGGGAATTGCAGCCAATGTCATGGAACAATTTGTATCTGAATTATTGAATGAGAAATTAATTTGCTGTGTAAAATTCACCTAAAGCACAATAAAATGTTTAAAAAAAAAGTATGAAGGAAAAAGTAAAAATCACCCGAAATCCTGTTTAACGTTTAAGTGAGCATCTTTACAGATTTCTTTAAGCATCTATGCATCTACAAAGATAACTGCCTAGAATTCTAAATAAACTAGCATTTTATATGTGCTTTTGTAAATAAATATGGACTTATTATATTATGACTCTGCGTGTTCTATCATATATATGTACATGAATTTATTTCACTGCTTCTTTGCTAATAGATGTTTAAATTGTATTTCATTTTTACCTGTTGTAAAGAACTTTCCCATGAAAGAATTGTGTGTGTATATGTGTGACTTTTCATATTTGTACAGTTTATCTCCATGGGGTCATTGCCTCGATACAGGATTGTTTCTTCCAAATTTCTTGACACTTTTTTTAAAATAATTCATCTTCCCTATACTGATTTGTAATGCCACTTTCATCATTCACCAGATTACCTCTGTCTTACTCCACTGATCCATCTGGATGCCTACACAAATACCAAACTATTTTGATGATTACCCATTGCCATCAAGTTGATTCCGACCCATAGCAACCCTATAGGACAGAGTAGAACTGCCCCATAGGGTTTCCAAGGCTATAAATCTTTATGGAAGCAGACTGCCACATCTTTCTCCCCCCGGAGCGGCTTGTGGTTTTGAACTGCCAACCTTTCAGTTAGCAGCCTCGTGCTTACACTGTACCACAGAGTTCCCTTTTTGATGATTAGAGCCTTTGAAATATGTTTTAATGATAGAGACGTCTCTCATTTTTACGTAAGCAAACAAACAGTATCTAGCTTTCTACGTTTACGTTTGCAGAGGTTTGGCTAGAGGGCAGGGAACGGAGCCTTCTTTCTGAGGGTTTGGTAAAAGAGGAATCTATGGAGCTCCCTTCGGTGTCTGAAGCCACTTTTTCTACCCTTTCTGGGTGTTTGAGGAACAGGTTGTATATATCAATTTAAGCAGACATACCCAAGTACATACAGCATACCTGGAAGCAATCATAGTTTAAGCATGATCTCCACATGGGCCCCTATTAAGCCACACAACACCTTTTTCTGTGCACATCTCGGCATTTCTAACTTGTGTTATTTCTCTAGACATTTTCTGTTGACATCCCTATTAACAGATGAGAATTCAACTTTATCATACATCCACCTACTTCTTCTCTCTTAAATTCAATTTGTTGTACCATTAACCATAGGTAATGCCTCTTGGCTTCCCACTTTGAAAAATGTGGACATTAATTTAGCCTTTCCTTTTTCTCTCTTCCTTCCTTTTTTTCTTCCCAGCTCTGTTACCTGTACCTTTTTGTTTAGTTAGGGTTGATGACTGTTACATTCTGTTTGGGGAAACTGGGGGTGGGGGCGCCTTACTTTACTCAGAATTTTGTCTTCTCAGTGAAATCTTCTCTGGTCATCCTATCTAAAATTGCAACAACAGCCCCCACCACACACACACACATATGCACACATACTTACCAGCTCCTCCTTCCCTGATGTGTTTCTCTTACCACTTTCTAGCATCCTGTATTTCCTTAATTATTTTGCTTATGTCTGCCCCCACTGGAATGTAAACTCTGTGAAGCCAGGGATGATTATTGTTTTCTTCACTGCTATATCCACAGTGTGTAGAACAGTGCTTGACACATAGTAGACTTTCAATAATTCTTTGTTGAATTATCCAGTAATGTAAAATATTCACTATCATATTTTGAGTGTATTATGGTATCATTTAATTTAAGGACTCTGACTACTATGTATATGTGTACATATTCAGATACTACTGGTACATACTAAAAGTAAGGTTAATGTTATAATTAATGGTGTTTAAATCTTATGTTGTTTAAAAGTATGTTAACCTTTTTTAAAATTTTAGGTTGACAGATTTGCAATGGATTTAGAGCAGAGCCGAGATCTGAACAACGCCATAGTCCATATTGACATGGATGCTTTCTATGCTGCTGTAGAAATGAGGGACAATCCAGAACTGAGGAATAAACCCATTGCTGTAGGATCAATGAGTATGTTGGTAAGTAGGTAAAGATCAGAGACAAAAAGGAAATTTTATAACATACTCAAATAAACCTTATTGATTCATAAAGGGCGCAGCCTTTATTGAGTTCAACCAGTTTACTGTGTATTTTTCTGAGGACTTTATAAATCACTCCTATGCTTTGTTTATGCTCAGTACTGAATCCTTTCAACATCCTTGAGGTACAGATTTTTATTTCTATTAACAGATAACAAACTCAGAGACATTTAATAATTCCCAAAGGTACAAACCTGGATAATTGTAAAGTGACATTATATCATTCCATTGCAAATTGAACTTTCCTTAAGTAACTATTCTAGTTAGAGAGAGTTAAAGAAGAAAGAAAAGGAAATGTTATTCTAAGTATAAATTGGCAAACTATGGCCTACAGGCCAAATCCAGCCCGCTGCCTTTTTTTTTGTAAATAAAATTTTATTGTAACATTATCACACCCATTCATTTATTATTATAGTTGCATTAAAAGAGCAGAGTTGAGTACACCTATTCGTCACTTACCACATTTACAACAATAGTAGAAGATGTACCATCCGACTATTTTGTGCATTAACGATGTATGTCTGGCAGTAACAAATGCCAAGGTGCGAGGCAAGAGTAATGCTGGCTGTGATGGTTAAGGTTGTATATCATTTTGGCTAGGCTCTGATTCTCAGTGGTTTAGCAGTTATGTAATGATATAATTTGGCAGTTATGTACTGTTGTAGTCGTCCTCCATTTTGTGATCCAATATGGTCATCCTCCGTTTTCACTTAATGCCAATTTTCACATAACAAACAGGTGTTTGGAATCTAACCATGTGGTTGCAGCAGACACCGTATGATCAGCAAAGCCTAACGTATTATTATCTGTACTTTACAGGAAGGAAAGGTTTACCAACCTGTTCAAGCATAACATATTTTATTAATATAGTACATTTAGATTGCAATTGAGTTGTTTTTCCATGGCTCAGAACCTTTGCTTTTCTGCATTTTCTGTTCAGAACACCCATTAGGGATTAGCATAATTTTGAGTACAGTTGATGTTATACTATGTTTGAAAAACATAAATGGCAAATCAATGCTATTATTCTGAAATAACTCATTCACTTGATACATTGAGTTTTGCATTTCTTTTAATTTTCACCTGAAATTTCAAGTAAGGATTCCGTTTGTGACACAGACTATTGTCAGATATCATCAACAACAGGATTTAATAAATAATCTTCCGTTTTTTTATTCTCATAATTTTTTCATTCCATCTCCCAATCCAAATGTTTTCACCAAAAAAAGTATTCGTCTTAAGAAATGAAACTTGATTTTTAAAATTCTTTTAAGCTTTAATCTCTTAATATTGGAGTCTTAGTCAGCTGATCCTATATTTAGACCTTTGATTTTTTTTCCAGATGAAAAAGATTCACAAAATGCCAAAATACAGCGAATTCCCAAACTCTACATTATTACTTTCATGTAAAATCACTCACTATCAATCACACTTTGATATATAGTATATTGTAGGTATGCTTTAAACTAATTAAATTTAGTTACTAGAAATCTAAGAGAAACTTTTTATTAGCACAGTCTTGCTAATTACCTGGTGGGACATCATAAATATGGGGCCTCAGTGGGATAGGGTCCATAGTATAATAATACCATGGTAGAATAAATTCAAAGCTTAATTTGAGACAATGCCTGTAAAGGAAATGTCCTTGAATTGAAAATGCACATCAGTAATGTATTTCTTATGAATGCATTGATCAATATGTCCATTTAGGTTTATATATTCTTTCCCATGTGGTCAATTATCTTTCAGTCTACTTCAAACTACCATGCAAGGAGGTTTGGTGTTCGTGCAGCCATGCCAGGATTTATTGCTAAAAGACTCTGCCCACAACTTATTATAGTTCCCCCAAACTTTGACAAGTATCGAGCTGTGAGTAAAGAGGTAAGTCTGATGTCTCACCCCCTACTTATAGCCCTTTGCTGGCTTTCTTTCACCTACACAGTCAAATCCAAATGCCTTAGTACATCAGCGTTTGGCTTGAGCTTACCCCTTCATTCTCACTTCATACCCCTTCTTTAGCTTGCGTATTGAATACTGAAATGCATGTAGTATCTAGAATACACCATTCTATTTCCCAATTTTTTGCCTTTTCATGTATTTTTCCATCTGATCCTGCCTCCCCAGAAAAACTCCAAATTACATTAATTCCAATATAAATTAACTAATTTTTCTTAATATGCAATGTAAATTTTCTTCTAGAACCATCTTATATTTATAATTTCCAGGACCTAGTTATTTGATTTCTTGACAGCTGCTTCCATGTTCAAACAACTGCCTCTTGGCCTGTGTACAGGTTCCTCATGAGCACAATTAAGTGTTCTGGAATTCTGATCCTTTGCAATATTATCCATAATTTGTTATGATCCACACAGTCGAATGCCTTTGCATAGTCCTCAAAACACAGGTAAACATCTTTCGATAATCTCTGCTTTCAGCCAAGATCCATCAAATATCAGTAATGATATCCCTCCTTCACATCCTCTTCTGAAACTGGCTTGAATTTCTGGCAGTTCCCTGTCAGTTCTGACTCATAGTGACCCTGTGTACAACAGAATGAAACACTGCCCTGTCATCTGCCATACTCTGCCATACATGTTTCGTGGTGTTGTACATAGGGTTGCTATGAGTCGGAACCAGCTTGACAGTACCTAATAACAACAACAATAGTTGAGTTATTAATTTCAACTCCTTTTCTAACTCATTTTTATAAGGTTTTTAAACAGTAACAAAACTCATGTATTTCTTTGTCCCACCATCTGGTAACAATACTTATGAGCATTTAATGTTTAAGAAACTGATAATCAGAGAGAAAGGGGGATAATCCATTGCTTTGAATAGGATCTCTAAAATATATATAAAGATTTGATTAGTGACTAAAATTGCCTAAACTGTTGGATATGAAAAGCTGCCATTTTTTCTATTTTTGATGACAAAGGTAAATGTTTGCCTGTCATGCCAGTGCTGGAACTTAATCTTAAATTAAAATTTATAGCGCTACATCAAATATTTTTAGACTGCAGTGGTAAAATACAGTGTGTTTTAACTATTTTCTGAATCGAGCACTTAAAGTCTATGACCTAGCACTCATTAGTCCATGAGTGGTCTTTAGACTTGCTCTTATTTGTATTCCATCTCATTTCCCCTAGAAATGACCCCCCCAGTCTATGAAAACAAGTGCTTTTTGCCTGTCTCTGAGAAGGTGATGGGGGCAGGACAGGAAGCACACTCACATTTTGTTACTTCTTACCTCTTTTACTGCATCCTGATTAAAAAGAGATAAAATGCTGACCACAAACATTGTAGGCTTTTAATGAGTTTGAAAATCTTTCAGAGACTTTTTAAAAAATATATTTTTTTAAGGTCTACCTGTCCTCAGTAGAACTTCTGGCAGTATGACAATGAAAACTAATTTGTTTTTAGTTATCTATATTCTGGTTATTTACATAAATTGGAGAAATCTTTCTCTAAATCTGAACAGGATCTAGCTAGTTTATTTATGGATAACAAATGGGTTCTTATATGTAAATGAACTACAGCATAAATTCATCACTTACTATAAATACAGTAATATTTATGGTTTGGTTAAAAAGCTTAAGCAAAAGTCATATTGTTTTCTCCAAAAGAATGCGTGGTAGCTTTAACCATTCCTTAAGCTTTAAGTGCTTGATTTTTACTGGAACATGTCTATTTTAGTTCTTATAGCAGTATCCTATGTAAAGGAAGTTAGTGAGTGCTCAACAATGCCTCTCGGATTACTTCTCATTCAGAATAATCTTAGTTGGCTGCCAACTGCAAACATTCCAGACTTTCATTTTCACTAGAAAGATTCCACATAGTACCTTATAAAAATGGTCTCTTCTACAAGAACTGAGCTAACTAAGGTACTCTCTGAATAAAGCTTAGCCAAGTTTTATGACATCATTTTCTGAAATTCCCTTTGACTCAGCTGTTCATAATTATATTAATCTAAAAAGCTTTCCTTTTATATTAAAAAAAAATTCTTAAGAAAGAGCAGACAACTTTTAAATGCTGATGGAAGTATAACATAATTCAGCAAACATGTTTTCTAATATACATATAATTTTGGCAACCATTCCCTCTAATTACATCTAATACTTCAGTGGTAAAAAAAAAAAAAAAAATTCATAGTTTCAAGTAACAAAATTATCTTATATAAAAGGCATTTCTGGATTGTAGCAACTATAATCCTGATCTCTGTATGTATTCCTTTCATCCTAAAATGCAACTCCAGATTTTTCCTTGGCATTTAATGGAGGCATGGGACTATGCTACATTGTCACCTTTTCCATTCCAAATCCCAATAGGTAATTGAGCTTTGTTTTCTTGTATGAATAAATGCATTAATATGTATATTGAGTGGAGTTTTATGTGCATGTTAAAATTAAATGAAATAAAACTACTTTCTAAAGCAGTAAAGTACATTTACTTTTTTTATGGCCATGAGTCTTGATGAGGCCTACTTGAATATAACAAAGCACTTTTTATTATTCCTTTTTAAAATTAACAAAAACCAACAAAAGGTGAGGAGAACAGGACCCTTTCATCATACCCACTGCTACTTTTGACTAGTTACCTAAAATTACATTCTTTAACCACTTTTTCTATGCTAGCCAAAATGATATGTTGTCTGAGATTTATTTGGGCCTCTTACTATATCTAGATAAACAACAACAACAAAAAAACGAAACCCATTGCCATCGAGTCAATTCCGACTCATAGCGACCCTATAGGGCAGAATACAACTGCCGCATAGGTTTTCCTACGCTGTAAATGTTTACGGAAGCAGACTGCTACGTCTTTCTCTTGTGACTATATTTAGAGGTGGGTTGCTAAATGGGAATTGTATCAAATGAAGCTATTTCATGGTCTTTTACCTTCATGATCTATTTTAATACAAAAGAGAATTTGGACAAACATACCCTTGCCATAAATTATTTATACCCTAAATCTATGAGCTATTGATTGTAGGATCGTTACTATAGTTGCAAAGTAAGAATATTAATGTGTTCCTATCAGCTATATATGACAGAAGGTTTTGCTATGGCAGCAAAATTTAAACCTTTTTTTGATCCTGTTGAAGGTTAAGGAAATATTTGCTGATTATGATCCCAATTTTATGGCCATGAGTCTTGATGAAGCCTACTTGAATGTAACGAAGCACCTACAGGAAAGACAAAATTGGCCTGAGGACAAAAGAAGATATTTCATTAAAACAGGAAACTCTGCAGAAAATGGTAAGCAATTTATTAGAACTGTCAAACTAAAAAACAAAAAATCTTTGCATTCCACTTATGTCATTAGCATGCATAAGTGGTAGGACTGCATATCCAAAACCCATTGCCATCAACTGGCTAAGGAGGTTGTCCGTTTAAGGTGGCCACTGTTTTTGTTAATGGAAATAAAATTTAAAAAGAAAAACAAACACAATTGGCCTCAGTATATCAAAACATTGGTTGATTTATTTTTCTTCTTCATTTCCCAAATGTTTTTTTAACTGTGGTAAAATGTATATAACAAAACATTTTCCATTTCCTTTACGTGTACAATTCAGTGACATTAATTACATTCACATGTTGTACAACCATCACCATTATCCATTTCCAAATTTTTTCATAACCCTTGACAGAAACTTAAGCAATAACTTCCCCTCCCCACTCCCACCTGCCCCTGGAAGCTTTGGTCTCTATGCTTTTGCCTGTTCTAGATGTTTCCTGTAAGTGGGATCATATAGTATTTGTCACTTTTTGTTAGATTTATTTCACTCAGCATAATGTTTTTAAGTTTCATCCATGTCGTAGCATGTATCTGAACTTCATTTGTCCTGATGGCTGAATATTTCATTGTATGGATGTACTTACATTTTGTTTATCCATTTGTTTGTTGGTGAATATTTGAGTTGTTTCTACCTTTTGGTTATCGTGAATAGTGCTAAAATGAACATTGACATACAATGTCTGTTTGAGATCCTGCTTTCAAGTCTCTTTGGTATATACCTAGGAGTGGATTTGCTGGGTCATGTGGTAACTCTGTGTCTAACTTTTGAAAGAACTGCCAAACTATTTTCCACAGAAGCTGCACCATTTTATATTCTCACCAGCAATGCACAAAGGTTTCAATTTCTGCACATCCTTGCCAACACTTGTTATTTTCTGTTTTTCTGATAATAGTCATACTAGTGGGTGTGAAGTGGTATCTCAAGATGGTTTTGATCTGCATTTCCCTGATGACTAATAACATTGAGCGTCTTTTCATGTGCTCACTGGCAAAATGTTTATTCAAGTCCTTTGCCCACTTTTTAATTGGGTTGTTTGTCTTTTTGTTGTTGATATATATTCTGGATATTAACCCCTTATCAGATATATGGTTCCCACATATTTTCTCTCATTTTGTAGATTATCTCTTCACTTTGTTGATTAAGTCTTTGGTGCAGAAAAGTTTTAAATTTTGATGAAGTCCTATTTATCTATTTTGTATTTTGTTGCTCTTTTTGTGTCAGACCTAAGAGTTCATTGTTGAACAGTAGGTCTTGAAGGATTACCCCTATGTTTTGTTCTAAAAGTTTTATGGCTTTAGTTCTTATGTTTAGGTCACTGATCAATTTTGAGTTAATTTTCATACATGGTGTGAGCTATGGGTGCAGCTTCATTCCTTCACATGTGGAAATCCAGTTGTCTCCCAAATTTTTTATAATCTGGTTATTACAGTAATTATCACTGTTTTCAACCCTGCCAAAATTAATGACTCTCCAGCTTCCTTCTTTGGTTTAGGCCTTATTTTGATTCTTTTACATACAATGAATCAGAAATGTCATGACCCCAAGCATTTTTTCAAGGTGTCCCTTTATTACCTATCCACAGCTACGCTAAGAAATATGCAGATATAACACACACTGCATTCAACCCTCTGTCAAAGGTATGATTACTTCAAATGTCTAAGCTGTCCTATACCCCTGAGCAGAGTTCACTTGGATAAAAAGGTAGACACAGAGGCATTTGCTCACAACCCGCTTCCAAGTTACATGTGAGTAGCTCAATGAATGCTTTAGAGGGGAACAGGCAGTAGTAGGGTAACCTATTTGTAACATTTCCCGATACAAAAATGGTGGATCCACAATGGTATAAAATTCTAACTCTCCCATTATTGCGGGCTCATATCACTTGGAGCAAGTTTAATGCAGACTTGTAATCACAACTTTATTACCTCATTTAAAGCCGTAAGAGGTAGATCTGTCTCTGAGGTAGATCTGTCTCTGTTCTCTAGTGGAAACATTGAACAGCATAGTTTCTGGGCACATGGCCTTGGCACAAGGAGTTTTCCTTTTTTGGTATAACTTTGTTTTCTGGGGAAGGAGCACACAGAGCCTAATAACGCTTTGCTTGAAGTCTCACTTTGTTGGTTCCTTTCTTTGCCCAAGAGAAAGAAAAACCATTAAATGGCTAGGTCAGATCGTCCCCTGAGAGTCTCCTATAATAATCACTCTTGTAATATGTTTAAATATATATATATATACACGCACACACATTGTGACTAACGTAAATGATTTCATTCTCTACTAGTGTTCTTCTCGTTTATTATATCCAAACTCACTATGAGGATGTGAAATTTTAATATCCATTGCTCTTGAAATATTTATATGTGTATTTTCTTCTTCATGTATGAGTAGTTTAACTATTTTCTCATATATAAATCCCTGTGGGCTGAACTTTCAGACATATCTGGTCTCACATTATGCCATGGGAAGCTATCAGCAGTGAGTTGGAACTGGTGCAGGTGACTGATAGATCTTCCTCTAAAGTCAAAGATACTGTTCTACTGTTTGCCTCGTTTCTAAAAGGTGTTTGTCTTTGGAAATGTATTGCTAAATACTGCGTCTATATACAAATAAAACAATTATTGTTAAATGTGTATTTTGCCATCTGGACAGTGAGTGCCAGGCAGGCAACATAAGGAACTTTGAAATACACTTCTTAGCACTTGCCAACCAGAGAGGATGCTATAATTCTAGTATCTCAGGTTATAACAAACATTACTTTTGTACTCTGATTACCTCATTTATGGGGATAATAAAGATATTTCTGTTAGAAAGCAAATAAGAAACTAAGAAACCATTCAGCAGCTAGTTACACAGCAGGACCTCACAGAGAGGTAGACTACTCCAGGTTGAAAAGATAATTGTGCCATTCAGCAGCAGCTCTAATAATGTACCAGAAGGCATCATATTTTGCTCCCTCCTTTATTTAGTCCTCTACTATCACAGAGGCTCACCTGAGAGTGGACTGGTACAGGCATGAGGTACAAAACATAGCAACTCTGTGGAAGGGGCTTGTGAACGTGGCAGCTACCTTAATTGGTCTCTAGTTTTTCCTGCAGCTTTCTTTACCTTAACATCCACCTGTCTAGATAGAGAGAAGGGGGTCCAGATAGATATCATTTCAGCTATTCTGCAGTCTTAATGCCTTTTGAATTGCTCTGCATTTTAAATCCAGAGTATGGAAAATGAAAGGAAATGAAGCACATAAAAAACAGCTAATGTAAATTTAAAAATAAGGCTTATTTTGTATGTGGCCTGGGAATTCAGATTTGGAAAATATCTGTCTATAACTTAATTCATATTACATACTTTAAATTTTGAAACTAATCAGAAGCTTGTTATATTATTCACAGATGTTTGTTAGAATTTTACAATTTCATAAACATTATCTTTAGAAAATCTTCCTAAAGGACAAGTTCATTTTTCAAGTAATGTGTATTTATATGCATCGTAAAAATAGAATTTTAAATTTTGTTTCTGCATTCACCTTAACTTGGAAAACTTTTATATGTAATAAAATTATGGGATGGGGTCAGAAGACTCTGTTGTTAGTCTTAGATGTTACAGATCCATTTAAACTAAGTTTTTCTTACATGAAATCCAGAAAGTAAAGTCTTTCAATGGATTTGTTCATGAGGACATTTTTAGTATCAGCATAAATTTAAGTGTATTTTATAGTCCATATATGAAAAATGGAAATGAAATGAGACAATAAGCAGATTGGTATTTGTACTTTACTTGTTTATAATAACATTAGTTTGTAGACTACTGATAACATCAAAGCCTTCTTTCTGTTAATCTTGCACCTTGGTTAATCTTAATTAAGTCTGTATTTGTATATTTAAAGAAGCATAACTTTCAGAGATAATTTCTATTTATTGAAAATGTGCCCTTAGTAAAAGAGATACATTATGAACAAGCAAGTCAAAATTAAAATTAGCATTGAAAGAAGAAAATTTAGATTATTTTAACATCTGAAAGATTTATTCCATGAATGAAGAAAATGTAAATGCTTTCTCTTTTAAAACAAAACTTATTTTTCAGGCATGATTATTATAGATGGTTTAATGCCTTTTTTCCTCATTCCTAAATTCTGATTTAAGAAGGTATTCCCCCCCGCCAAGAGATGAGTAAAGGAAAAAAAAAGTTTTTATTTTTTAAGAAAAATGTAAGCCCAGTTCTGGGTTTTGATTAATTTAGATACAAAAATCAGTGAGTTTTACATGGGATATTTCTTTTAAAATGTATAGTATAGGCATGGACAAAAATTTTTTCAAGGAAAGCTTGGAATCAGTGTATTTTTTTTTGTTGTTAAACGGTTACAATATTCAAGATAGCATTTCTGATCTTGATTATTAGAAACAAAAGTAAACTAAATTTGTTTTGTCTTCAGAAAGAATGTAGGGGAACTGAACTTATGAAGTATGTACTTCTTAAAATGATTATGAATTACTGTTCCTGTCTAATAATTTAGATAAACCAAGAGAGGAAGTTAATAAATTGAGTGAACGTGAACTATCCATCTCTCCACTACTTTTTGAAGATAGTCCTCCTGATTTGCAGCCTCCAGGAATTCCTTTCCAAGTGAACTTTGAAGAACAGAACAACCCTCAAATACTCCAAAACTCAGTTGTTTTTGGAACATCAGCCGAGGAAGTGGTAAAGGAAATTCGTTTCAGAATAGAGCAAAAAACAACACTGACAGCCAGTGCAGGTACTTAAAAGGATATTGATGACTACTATAGTTATTATAATTTTCAAACTAAAGAATTCAAGTGTAATATTAGTAGTTTTCTTATTATAAAATGTATAATAAGATTTTATTTATCCATGCTTTGATTCAGCTTCTGACAACTTAGCCTACTCAGAATAGCTATGAACCTATAGATAAACTGGAAGTAAGCAGAAAAGCCCATAAGCCCAGAGAAAAATACTGTCATAAATCCCTTAGCTATCCCTTTTTAAACACAAAATATATTTTAGTTGGTTTTGTATATAATGGTTGATTATTAGTTTTTCCTTTGAAAACTTCAGCCCTGTCCAAGATTACATTACCAAAGAGAACCCAGATGGCCACAAGATTGGAGACAGAAGAAACACCAACTAGCAGTACAGCAATCTAAGACTGTCTGTTGAAGGAAGAAACAGCTTTACATATGTCAGTAACCCATGAGGTCATCACTGTATCTTCACATAGTAATTGATATTCATAATAAGGACCCTGAATTATCTTGTAAAAGTCATATTATGAGTAGGTTACTCTCCCTTTCTGTACCAGAGTGAGAATGAGGAATAGATTTTAGGAAGATGTGTATAAAAGTTGAAATGAACTGTTTAATGAGTATATTTTAATATACCTATTTCAAGTTATCTTAATCGTTAAGACTTGTAATCTCCTTGAGGTTGTAAAGTACCTTTATAAAAAGTAGTAATTTGCTTTTTGAGTAACATAAAAAGGAAGCACAGATATAATTATTGTTTTAAATATATTGCAACCCAAAGCCTTTGATTTTTTTTCTTTATGTGGATAATCTACGCAAAAGACTTTTGCAAAGAGTAAACATCCATCCTAACTTATATCTGAATCTTTTCTGAGAAGTAGATATGGAGCCACTATCAAACAGCCTTATATCCTTACTAAGGATAGTAAGTACACTAATAACATTTAATAAATAAGCTCAGAAATTACTCTTAGTTTAAAAATGCCATGGAGATTTAAGTATCCCTCATTTTTGCTGCCATGATAACGAATATTCCTTTTCCTAAAACCGTAGCCAATCCTAAGGAGATAGGTAGTGCTCAAATGTTATTTTTAAAGTAGCATTCCATTCATCTTATATTTTTTCCAGTTAGCATTGTTATTTCTTTTTGGTATTGTCATTATATATTTGTAGAGCATTCATATTAACCTCTTTGAATCATCAGAGTGTTCTTCTTTTAAGGCATTGCCCCAAATACAATGTTAGCAAAAGTATGCAGTGATAAGAATAAACCAAATGGACAATACCAAATTCTCCCCAACAGACAAGCTGTGATGGATTTCATCAAGGACTTACCCATTAGAAAGGTGAGATTTTATGTAAAATTTAACATCTGTATATATTTACTCTGGGTTCTGAAGAGATACTGTTTAGGTTGATAGTAACCGTTCTTTGCTGAAAATAAAACAATAGGTAACAGGCAAAAAACTAAAATGAGTGATTGAATTTGGACTTGAAAGAAATCTTTCTATGAGTTTTGAAGCCCTAAAGATGAGGTTTAGGAAGCTTGATCCCTGGAAGTTTTTAAGAAAGTAGTAGATGCCAGACTTTTAAGTATACTCCTGGCAAGGAGAAGGGAATGAAAAGAATACTTCTAAGAGTTCTTTCATCAGTAACTTAATACTGTTGTAATTCTGATGTCCACATTGCTACTAGGTTAATCTTCGAAGAGATTTAGAATTTTAATTGCTTTTGACCAGAAAATAGACCAAAATATTTTAGCTCTTTAAAATGGTAAAATTATCCCTCAAGAGTTCCAGAAACGGTATATATTACTGTATTTTAAAGCTTATGGATTTTTCTGCATATTTAAGCTTTTTAAAATAATACTAACACTGTATGGGCGTTCTAGGATTTGCTGTTCTCATTTAACATAATGTATATAAATTAATTTAATTTAAACATTTTTCAATGCTCAGAAGAAAGGCTGTATCAAAGATGAATATATAATGATTACTGAGTAGTTTAGTATGTGTAAGGTGTAACTATAAAGCGGTATTTTTCCTATATGCTTTTCAAAGTGTGAATAAGTGTTCCATTAAAAAAAGTTCTGTGGTCAGATAACTTCGGAGCATACTGCCCTTGGTGGGTCACAGTGGATATTAGTATATTAAAGATTCTGAACTCTTGCAGGAAAAATTCTAATTTTGATTTGTTTATCTTACCATTCCTCAAGCTTATATGACTACAGAACTCTTTTTTTCTTAAACACCTTTTAAAATTCCATGGAACACTAATTTAGGAAATTTGGCCAAAAGTAATTAAACCAGTTTTCTTGTATGACTTACACAGACAGTCACATTCTTCGTACCTTTTATGAGATTATAATCTCAATTTTTAGCTTTATTTAAAATCTAAAAAAAATCTATTAATGATAAATATTGCTTCTCTTCTAGATTCCTGGAATAGGAAAAGTTACAGAGAAAATGTTAAAGGCGCTTGGAATTATTACTTGCACAGATCTCTACCAACAGAGGGCATTACTTTCTCTCCTTTTCTCTGAAACATCCTGGCATTATTTCCTTCATATCTCCCTGGGACTAGGCTCAACACACCTGGAAAGGTATCTGTATAGTCATTTTGCTTTTTCTTTATTATTTGCCGAAATATCAGTTTTAACCATTGAGATAAGTGCTATAAAGATAACATGTTTTAAAATTCTGTTTACCCAAAAAACCCGTTGCTCTCAAGACTATGCTGACTCATAGCAACCCTACAGGACAGAGTAGAGCTACCCCATAGGGTTTCCAAGGCTGTCATCTTTATGGAAGCAGACTGTCACATCTTTTTCCTTCCGAGCAGCTGGTGGGTTCAAACCACTGCCCTCTTGGTTAGTAGCCAAGTGCTCACCCACTGTACCACCAGGGCTCCTTAAAATTCTATTAGGCTAGTTTAATTCAGAATATAAGTTTTGAATTAGAACCAACAGATTAGATATCAGAGAAAAAGGAATAAAGACTCACTCCTAAGTTGGCTTGAGCTATTGGGTAGATGAACAAGAGGAATAATGACTGCCTTCTTTTCCGTCCCTGCCTTGTTCTTTGTTCAGAACATCAGAGGAATGCTGGTGGTCAGGTTTTTGAGGAAAGAAATATGCTTCATACTTCAAAATTGACTCTTTGAGTGAGAAGATTTAATGATTCTTTGAAAGCCTTAGTGAACTAGATTTAATTCTTTCCCAGATTTGTAAATTATTCATTCAGTACTCAAGTACCCCTTTCGTATTAGGCACTGTTTTAGGCACTGAGCATATAGCAGCAAATGGGACTAAGTCCCACCTTCATGGAGCATACAGACTAGTGTGGAGACAGAAAATAATCAAATAAACAGCAAATCAAGAAAATAAAGCAGGCCTAAAAATGACTTGGGGGTATGATTAGCGGGTAGTAGTGGTCAGCCCGAGGCAGAGACCTGAAGGAGCCAGCCACGCAAAGATCAGGGCGAAGAATATTCCAGGCAGAGGGAACAACTAGAGGAGAGGCCCTGAGTTTTGTTCCATGTTACTTTTTCATCTAGGTCTTAAAAAGAGGTTCTCTAGAGCTAGAAGGGTACGTTGTTGGAGGTGGGTGAAAAGAAGGGAATAAAAAAGAATGAGAATCATGGAAGCAGAAGCTGGGCACTATTTTTACAAGTTTGTCTTCATCCTGGCAGCCTGCCAACAAAACAGTTCCTTTAGATTCTTGAAATTAAACTAATGGACAGCAATAAGATTAATGAGGCATATAAAATAAAATTATTTATATCAGTTATATAGTTTATCACCAATTAAACCTGCTAAATCTCACAGAGATTACAAGGCTGGTGGTATTGCTTTTCTCATCTCTCCCTGCACCTCATTCTTTTAAGTCGACAGTTAGCTGACTTTGGTCTTAGGTGGATATAATGAAAGGTAAGGGGAAGAAATCATAGTACGATAAAAATCTAGTATTTGAAGATAACAGCAAATAAAAAACTTTATTTAATCTTTATCCTCTTTTTATTTCCATAGTAGAAGAAAATGATATAGTTCTTGCTATAACATAGCACATATTAGCCTGTGGTATGCTTTTAAATGAAATTCATAGGTAATTTATAATAGTATAAAACAGCAAGCTTGCCTTTTCCTCCCCCACATTCTCTATTCTCCTATTCTGCTTTATTTTTTAAGCTGTAGTACTCCCTTATAACATATTACATATTCTATATTTTATTTGTTTATCTGTTTCCCTCCCTGTAAGTTTCTTAAGGGCGGGCACTTGGTGTGTTTTGTTCATCACTGTATCTCCAGAGCCTAGACCAGTGTTTGATTCATAGTAGGTTCAATAAATATTTGGAAAATGAATAATCTACGTATTACTTCAGTTTCTCCTATCAGAGCAGCTAGAATCCAGCCAAACTAGTTGGTTCAGGTTCCATATCTTTACCCTATTGCTGTGTACCAAGTTCTGACTGAAATTCTATAAAGTGGTATAAATGAATAATGAGTAGGCTGTAGGAGAGAGAAGTTAACGTGCTAGGCCAAAAACTAGATACCGAATATTAAATTATTTAAAATTTATATCCTATAACTGCAAGCTATTAAGCTATCACTTCAGATTGGTTTTTATCAGTGTAGTTTTTGATATTCTGGCTTTTGATAGGAGCAATTTATAATATCAACTTATTTTCAAGTTTGTTCTCTTCAATAGATACAGACTTGATCCATGATACAGATAATCATGTTAGCATCTTATCAACCTCTGTTCTTTGGTGATAGTTTCATTTTTAGATAAGAAAAACTCACTGTTTTTCATGATGTGTAAACTTAACCAAAATATTCTCTTGGTTGGCTAAAAGGAAATCAGTCTTATTTGAGAAAGTAAATAAAGCTTTTTTGTTTTATTTCAAGGGATGGAGAGAGGAAGAGTATGAGCGTTGAGAGGTAATGTTTTGTTAGTTATTTATTGTTAATTTTAATAATTCATGTTATTTTTAACTAATTTTTAAATTAATTTTTGGAAAATATACTCAAATAAAATTTATCTGCAAACCCAGTAACAGTTTTCAGGAGTTCACATTCCCAAAGGAAATACGCTAATACAAGGTCTCTATATAATCTTTAGTTGCTATACTCTCAATTAACTGCAGCTATTTTATTATTTAATATTGGTTTAGCTTCTGGAGATTGGGTGAGCAATAATTTTAGAATTCTAAGTCTTAATTTCTGTCCTTGTTTAATAAGGAAAATTATATTGAATATATAATTGGGAAGTGACAATGGGAGTTCTTTCTGAAACTCCTCAAATATTGGTGATGAGCAAGGTATCAAATAGTAAAATATTATTGATGAAAGAGGGCTTAGAGATGATCTATAGTGCTTTATAATCTTGTTTGAATATCAAGTGAAATCTCAATGGAAGTTCAGTGTTTTGGGGAAAGAGGTCATTTCGAAAAGCCCCTCAGTTATCTCCTCAAAGTACCTGAATTCCACTTACACATTTAAGAACTGCTGACCTAGTACAATTTTGTGTTCATTTTTCAGACATATTATTTGTGATCAGAAAAAATTGAAAGACATACAAGATAACACATTCAATAAGTGCCTTTGATAAAAATTGCTGTTTTAGACTATGATTTACATAAAAGTAATCAAAAGAAAAAAGAAAGCATCCGAAAGTGAGATAGTATTGTCCTATTTAATAAATGCATTTTCTTCAATTTTGTCTTTTGTTATTGAGAGTAATACTTAATACACAAGAATATGTTCTCCACCTCTTTCGGGAAACTCTTCTTGGCTTCCTTAAAATTGCATTAAAAAACATCAAACTTGGGGTTGGGAGCATTGAAATTCATATCACATGCAAAGAACTCTTAAATCAGTAAGAAATCAAACCAGTAGAAAAAATGGACAAAGGATATAGTTAACAGAAAGAGAGATACAAGTGACTCTTAAAACGTGAGAATATTCTCAATCTCATCTGTGATTAAAGAAATACAGATTGAAAGTTCTGAGATAGCAGTTTTCACTGATAAGATTAGCAGAGATTCTAACATACTTTACTGGCAAAACTATGGAAGTGAAATAGGTTTAAATTCTTAAGGGGGGTGGTGTATTTGTTTCCTATTGTTGCTATAACAAATTACCACAAACTTAGTGGCTTAAAACAACACAAATTTATTCTCTCTTAGTTCCTGAGGTCAGAAGTCCTAAAATCAAGGTATTAGCAGAGCTGCATTCTGGAGGTTCTAGGGGAGAATCTGTTTCCTTACCTTTTCTGACTTCTAGAGACTACTTGCATTCCTTGGCTCTTGGCCCCATCCTTTATCCTCAAACACAGCAGCACAGCATCTTCTACTCTCTCTCTCTCTAACTCTCATCCTCTTGCCTCCCTCTTATAAGGACCCTTGTGATTACATTGGGACCACCCATATAATCCAGGATGATCTCCCCATCTCAGGATTCTTAATCAAGTCTGCAGAGTTCCTTTTGCCATTCAAAAATCCGGGGATTAGGATGTGAATAACTTTGGGGGACATTATTCAGCCTGTTACCAAGGGTAGGAAATTTGGCAATATCTATCAAAATCATAACAAATTATGGATAACATTGCGAAGAATGAGAGTTCCAGAACACTTAATTTTGCTCATGGAACCTGTACATAGACCAAGAGGCAGTCATTCAAACAGAGCAAGGGGATACAGCATGGTTCAAAGTCAGGAAGGGTGTGCATCAGGGTTGTATCCTTTCACCGTACATATTCAATCTGTATGCTGAGCAAATAATCCAAGAATCTGGAATGCAGCATCGGGATTGAAGGAAGACTCATTAACAACCTGTGATATGCAGATGACACAACCTTGCTTGCTGAAAGTGAAGAGAACTTGAAGCACTTATTGATGAAGATCAAAAGCTACAGCCTTCAGTATGGATTACACCTTAACATAAAGAAAACAAAAATCCTCACAACTGGACCAATAAGCAATATCGTGGTAAATGGAGAAAAGACTGACATTGTCAAGGATTTCATTTTACTTGGATCCACAATCAGTGCCTGTGGAAGCAGGAATCAAATCAAATGACGTATTACCTTGAACAAATCTGCTGCAAAAGGCCTCTTAAAAGTGTTAAAAAGCAAAGATGTCACTTTGAGGACTAAGGTGCGCCTGACCCAAGCCATGGTATTTTCAATCACCTCATATGCATGCAAAAGCTGGACAATGAATAAAGAAGACTGAAGAAGAATTGATGCCTTGGAATTATGGTGTTGGCGAAGAATATTGAATATACCATGGACTGCTAGAAGAATTAACAAATCTGTCTTGGAAGAAGTATGCTAGGATGCTCCTTGGAAGCGAGGATGGTGAGACTTTGTCTCATGTACTTTGGACATGTTATTGGGAGGGCCCAGTCCCTGGAGAAGGACATCATGCTTGTTAGAGGGTCAGCAAAAAAGAGGAAGACCTTCAACGGATGGATTGACACATGGGTTTAACAATAGGCTCAAACATAGCAATGATTGTGAGAATGGCGCAGGACCGGGCAGTGTATCATTCTGTGGTACATAGGGTCACTGTGAGTTGGAATTGACTCGACGGCACCCAACAACAACCAACCAACAAACCCATTGCTGTCAAATCGATTCTGACTCATAGCGGCCCTATAGGCCAAAGTAGAACTGCCCCATATGGTTTCCAAGGAGCAGCTGGTGGATTTGAACTGCCAACTTTTTGGTTAGCAGCCAAGCTCTTAACCACTGTGCAACCAGGGGTCCACAATAACATCAAAATCAGAGGTACACATACACTTTGATCCCCAAATTCTTTTTCTAGGAATTCATCCCACAGGCATAATCACGTGTCATTTTACATGTTTACAAGGTTATTCATTGCAGCTTTTTTTTTTTTTTATGGTAGCAAAAGATTGAAAATAACTTAATATGCATGAATAGAGGATTGGTTAAATTTTGTTACATCTCGAAGTTGGAATATTATGCTGCCATGTAAAAATGAGGATATTATTTACTCAGAGGGTACACTCACCAAGATGAATTGAGCATAGCAAGGGCTGAACAATGTGTCTAGTATCCTACTGTTTATATAAAAATGAGGAGAAAATGTTTCTTTGCTTGTATATGCATGGAATATTTCTGGAGGAATTCATAAGAATAAGAAGGTGACAATGAAGAGGAGGAGGACTCTTCACTCTATAGTCATTTGTTCAGGGTTTTGTACTCAGCACCCTGATCTCTCTTTAATCTCTTCCTCTTTTATGTTTATATGCTCTCTCAACTTCTTTGAACACTCTTGTGAAGATGAATTCAAGATTTGTACATTTAATCATAACAGCCCTTCAATTCCAGTTGTTACTAGACAACTCTGTCTAGGTGCCCTGAACCATCTCCTTAAAATCTACTTGCAGATATTTTTCTTCTAGAAAATACATGTGCAATAATTGGAATCATGTTCTCACCTATATTTTCTTAGGAAAATCCCCTGTAGCAAAGTATATATGCACATATATTCAATGTGTTGTAAGTTCTGGGGACATCACCATTGTCTATTGGTGACCTGAATCATCTTTTTTTATAATATTGTAGAGGAAGCAAGAGCATAAGTTACATCTTTGCTAATCAGCTTACCTATCTAAGTGGTTTTCCATTATTTAGGTAGATCTTAGTTGTTTTATTTAATATAATTATATCTTAGTACATCTGAAAATTTTAGTATGTGCCGCAGAAAACATAACACTAGGCCATTTAAACATACTGTATCATTCCTAAATTATCTTGAATAACAATTTACTTTGTGCACCAAAATCATTCTTCTCTTTCTAGGACATTCAGTGAGATAAGTAATGCAGAAGAACAGTACAGCTTGTGCCGAGAGCTTTGCAGTGAACTTGCTCAAGATCTTCAGAAAGCAGGACTTAAGGTATTTTATTTCAATATGCTGTTAATTTTAACAATAAGATGCTACCTTAAAGCAGGAGTTACTCATTTCTTAAGATGAATACAAATTGAAAAATGACAGAAAAGAGTGTTCTCATCATCAATAATCAGAAAAAAAATTCAGTTCTGACCCATATCTGAGGCCTAGGATGAAGTCATTACGTGGGGAAGCAACTTAGGGGGCTCAAGTGGTTCCAAGATAATTCCAGAGGAGTTTATACCACCTTGGGAATAGATTTGAATAAGTTCAAAATCAGAGTTATTTTGACGTTAGGGAATAAGGCAAGAGAACGATTTCCAGTCCACCAGTGGTGCAAATGGTTAACATGCTTGGCTGCTAACTGAAAGATTGGAAGTTCAGATCCACTCAGAAATGCCTCGGAAGAAAGCCCTGGAGATCCACTTCTGAAAAATCAGCCACTGAAAACCCTATGGAGCACAGTTCTACTCTGACACACATGGTGTCACCATGAGTCAGAACCAACTCAACAGTAATTGGTTTAATTGATTTTATTTTGCATATTACAAAGGCCCTTCCAATCCCCCTTTAATGTCCTTCTCATGTAGACAATGACCTTCTAGAACAGGGTATTTTATTTCAGAGCTCTAATCCAGGTTGTTTTGTTGTTGAGAACAAAAGCCTGGAAGGCTTTGAACCGTCTATTTTATAATCTTCACTCACACAGTCTATATTTAGCATTTTTCCGGCACTTCCAAACCAGAGGTGGAATTATTACAAAGTGTAATACAGAAGTATTAAAACATTATAAAGAATGGGATACCTGATAAGTGAGTGTTTTTCTCATACATCTTCTGTCATACCTTGAGTATAAAAGGGGTTCTTACATATAAATTGTTTAGCATAGTATCTGGCATATAATAGGCACACAATAAGTATGAGCTATCCAAGACCTTTTAAATGAAGCGTCTTTAGAAGGATTCTTTTCCGTCTTTTTTAAGAGAGATTTCTTCCTCTAAAAGAGATTCAGTAAAGAAAAAGAAAAAGAAAATTCTCAGTTAACTTTATGCTTTATCTGAAGATTTTTTACAAAGATTTGATTGGGGAGGGAGTAATAATTATGGCTAAAATGGCATTTTTAGATTACCTATGAATTTTAATTATTCTTTTGATAATTGTCATTACCATGTTTTATAAATAATTGATTATACTTCCATATTCTTATGTGTGCATAAGATACCTTTCTGAGTTTTTCCAACCTGTAAAATAACTTTTTGCTAGAAGTTAAAAGTTATGTATAATGACATATTCTATTTGTTATAGGGTAGAACTGTTACCATTAAGCTGAAGAATGTGAATTTTGAAGTAAAAACTCGTGCATCTACAGTTTCACCTGTTGTTTCTACTGCTGAAGAAATATTTGCCGTTGCTAAGGAATTGCTAAGAACAGAAATTGATGCTGATTTTCCACATCCTTTAAGATTAAGACTCATGGGTATAACTTTTCTCCTTTTTCCTTAATTCTGTTAGGATTTCTCAAATAGTCAATTTTAAAATCACTTCCATTTTATTTCTTGAACCTGTTTAGGAAGTTGTTACTATGCTGCTGTCATTTACTGTAATTCTTAAAACCTGATGCATGTGAAGTCATGATCATTAATTTGATTACAGTAAGAACCAATTAAAGTGGCTCTTTTTCTTACTACATGCCCACAATCCCTTTTCTGAAGTCCTTAGAACAAAGTATGTTTGAAAATTGAAAACTTCAGATTTTAGAAAGCCAATTTAGTGTATATTGAGTATATTCTTTAAAACTCCTTTGTGAACTGGGGCAGCACCTCATGATCGAATGCATTAATATTTCTTTAGCAAAGCAAAAAAATATTCACACTTAGTGTAAAGACTATAAATAGCCTCCATCAGTTTGATCATTATTTATTATTTCTTGCCTACAATTTTCAGAGCTTTTTGGATTTCAGAATTGTAGATAAGAGACTGTGGCACTTTAAAACCACATCTCCAGTCACCACCCGGTCAAAAGAAAACAAAACATGTTTCCAAAGTGAGCTGGGTGAGAGGATGTATATGGATAAGCACTCCAGATGCCCACTTCACTTCTAAAAGTGGGTTGTTAGCCTTACTTTGATATATGAAACATAGTATATGCTGAAATAGATTGAACAAAGTAACTTTAATTAGAAGACCTGAAGAGTCTGTGTGGTTTACACCAATAGTTACTTAGTAATTAATGGTATTATGTGTCCAATATTAAAAAGCCTGTGTAATCATGCCAACTCCAGTAGATACTAATATTTAATGATACCCAACTTTATAAAGGAAAATGAATTCCTACTCAAAATGCCAGCTTTGAAAATCATCCTTTAATTTAGAAAATATCCTATGTTGCTTATTATTTCTCTCTAACTAACCTTTTATGTATATGTCACAACATATCATGCAATATATTTTTATGTACTGTGATTGAATTATTTTTGTTGAATTTGAAATTAAATTATTTGTGGTTGATTTAATTTAGGTGTGCGGATATCTAGTTTTCCCAATGAAGAAGATAAGAAACACCAACAAAGAAGCATTATTGGCTTCCTACAGGCTAGAAACCAAGCCCTGGCAGCCACTGAGCATATACTAGAGAAAACTGACAAAGATCAGTTTACAAAACCTCTAGAAATGTCTCATAAGAAGAGTTTCTTCGATAAAAAAAGATCAGAAATGAAATGGAAGCACCAAGACACATTTAAATGTGAAACTGTGAATAAACAAAGTTTACACACATCACAACCATTCCAAGTTTTAAAGAAGAAAATGGATGAGAATTTAGAAACATCAAAGAATTCAGATAACTGTCAGATATTTACCTGCCCTGTTTGCTTTAGGGAACAAGAAAGCATCAGTCTGGAAGCTTTTAATAGACATGTGGATGCATGTCTCGGTGGACCTTCAGTCAGTGAAGATCACGCTTTCTCGTCAGAAGTTAACAAGGAAGAAAATGTGCATCATTCTCTTTCATTCTATGAGAAGCAGGATTCTGAAGCCCATCAGAAGAATATAGAAATCACTTCGGTAGACTGTGTAGATTTGGTAGAGACTATAGGTAACCTAACTAAAGCAGAAAGTATAGATGCTTTAAGTAGTAAGCACAGCAAAGAGGAATGTTCTAGCCTTCCAAGCAAGGCTTTTAATACTGAATGCTTTCATCAGAATTCTTCTTGTACTGTTCCATTGGAAAATGAAGATGGCATATCATTAAGTAGGCAAGAATCCCCCCAACCTTATTTACATGAAATGATAACAGACCAAGCTCTAGTTTGTCCTGTTTGTAACCTAGAACAAAAGACTTCAGATCTTTCCCTATTCAATATGCATGTGGATGTTTGCTTAAATAAAGGTGTTATCCAGGAACTGAGGAAGGATAAAGTTAATCCAGTTAGCCAACCCAAAGAAAGCTCAGGAAGTACTGGTGAGTTTGCAGTTGTAAAGAACTTGATTTTCTAGAAATATGTCTTATTACAGTTAATGAGATTGTTGTTAAATCTGAAACATGTACCATTAAAGGGGTAGTTTGTGTATATTGCCATTTAGGAAAACGTTAGTGCCTTACCATAGGTTAGAATTAACTAAAGCCACTGGATTTTGAATTTGGGGAAAACTTTGGTTTGGGCTTGATTTGAACTCAGAGGTTTAAGGAGCTGAGTGATACAATCAAACAAGAAAGTCCTTAAAACAACATTTGCCACAGCGGTAAATTAACCATAATTACATTGCCAGGAAATCTCCTTAACTTGTTTTTTAGTAGTTTTGACTCTAGCCAAATTTCAAAAATAAATGTAATATTGATAAAACTAGTAAATTATGAAGAAATTATGCTTATAAAGTTAGTTTCTTATATGTATTAATGTAAACTATAGTACTGAAGAAGTTTCTTGTTGTTATTGATCAGTTTTAACTTTTACATTTTTTATACAGTTTTTGAATTGTTTCATGCTGCTCATTATGGAATTTCTTGTCTTCTCTTCCGTCTATAGGTAGCTCAGGCAGAGTACAGAAGCCTGTAACAAAAACAAGAAGGTATGTTGGAATAAACTCGACAACAACTGCTTTCATTTTTGTTTGGTTTTATTTAAGCTTTAAAAAAACTGGCTATGAAATTCACATTCTGAGGTCTAATTTTTAAGAGGTATTAAATTTTGTTTTTATAAATTATCAAGTAACATTTAAAAAATCAATGATTTGCAAAAATATTCTTTTTAAATCTCTTCCTGCATTTTAATTGTATGTTCTTTTTCATTCCAGGCCAGGACTGATAACAAAGTATTCAAGATCAAAGAAAATAAAGCCAAACAATTCCACACACACCCTCGATCTATTTTTTAAATGAACATTGAACATTTTTATCATTAATTTTTTCAGTAAAACTGGTTGTTTTATAATCAGTGAGTTTATTCTTCCCATTATAAGTTTGGATATTTATTTAGTAGAAAGCAAGTGCAATAATCCCTGTCCAAAAGATATTTTCTTTCATATGAATTTGGAATAGATACTGATTTACTTCTGTCTACCTTTTTGAAAACTATGAGAATTTCACTTCCGATATACATCAACTGAGAATCAGTGATGTTAGGGATAATTTATAAAAAGAGAAACCTAAGAATAGAAATAGAAAGTGATTTTTTTATTATTTTTTGTAATGACTATAAGAATATATTTAAAAGGACTCTCAGAGGTTCACACAAACCTATTCTAACCTAAGAATTTTTTAGCACTTATCCTTTTTGTTGACATTAGACTATTGTATTTAATCCTAGTTTCTTCAGGTACCTCATGAGCTTTCATAACTCAGATTTATCGTAAGTGCTATGAAGAATATTAGCAGAATTAGTATGAGTGATTTTGTACCTTCAGGAAAATATCACAATATTATTTGTTAAAGAGATTTTTACTTAAAATATGATTGTTTTTCTTATTTAAAATTCCCATATCTCGTGAATAGGCACTTGGTTCACTTTAAGCAATATTTAACCAAAGATTCAAGGTAGTTATTTTCTTATATAGGACTTTTAAATGGCAATATTTTATTTCTTGGCAGTTATGTAGTTTCTTCAAGAGAAAAATATGTAGTTTAAAAGATTAATATATATTAGAACATCACTTTGTTATATTTTATCATAAATATTTTTTATTATTTATGAAAGAAGACAGTTTAACAGTTTTAAATGGTTATTCCAAACACTTTTGAGCTGTCAATAAGTTAGAGTTATCAAAAGACAATTATTTAATTGGAATATGAAGATGAAAACCAATTCTGTTAACGCTTTAGAAACTAAATCTTTTGTTCTCAAATTTTTTTGTTTTCTCTTTTTCTACTTTTCACATTTTAACTTATTATCTAAGTATATAAAGATATAATATTTTTAGGGATAGCTTAAATTAGGATATTGCACAATCTTTGGCCAAAGTGGTAACTTAACTTTTAGTTAGATTATTTAAAATTAGACTTAATGCTTATTTTATATGCTATCATTATACACTATGATGAATACAAAAAGTTGTAGAGTTATCGTTCTTGATTGTGTGACTTATATAAGTACTGTATAAAGTTAAGTTCAAGGAAAGACTGATTTAGTGTATTGGAAAGTAGATAGCACTATATTTAATTATTTCTGTCCTTAGGAATAACACAAGGGTACCGTCTATGATTTTGCTGGAGATCCTAGCCAATTCAGTAAATAAAAAGATGAATAAAAACTGGAAACAAAGGAAGAAAAATATTTCCTTACTGTCAGATGATGTGTTTGTGTATGTTAAAAAAAAAAAATCCACATTTAATAAAGGAGTTCGGCAAAGTTTATGGCTACAAGATCAATGTACAAAATCAAAACATTCCTATACAAAGATACTTTTAACTGTCCTCATTTAAAAATATGTCTTTATTTGCTCCTGCTTATCTTTTAATTTATTCTTCCCACTGATTTCCATCACTGCCTCTGCCAACCCCATCTCTATCACTGAATCCCATCTACTCTTCTAGGGAATCTTGAAAACATCCATTTCTTTCCATTCCTTTTATCAAGCTCTTAACAGTTGCCTGAACTCTGACCTCTCAACTCATTTCTTAGCTTTCGATTTCTTTCCCTACTCTAAACCATTTTATGCATTTTTTTACAGATTAACCATAAGCAGTGCTTTCCTAATATCATTCTTATGTTAAAAATATAAAACTTCAAAAGCTCTCAACTCTCTCCAGAATCAGCAGGGAACAAAGAGAGTTGATTTTTAGCATTTGATGATTTCTATAGTGTAAATACTCACACAATGATTTATTTCAAGCTGCAGACATGATGTCAGCCAGGTCACAAAATTCCTGAAAATTTAGCGATCAACTCTTGGAAACAGTACAAGCTAGCTCCCGCACTCTGTAATGCACCCTAGAAACTAGTTTGGCATTCAAGGCCATATAGCCATACTGTATAGCTTGTAGTTTCCTGAGTGTTGTTGTTGCCATCAAGTCAGCTCTGACTCATGGCAATCTTATGTGTAACAGTTGCCTATATAAATGTTGCCTGGTCCTACGCCATCGTCATGATCACTGGTGTGTTTGAGTCCATTGTTGCAGCTGTATGTGTCAATCCATCTCATTGAGGGTTTCCCTGGTTTTTGTTGGCCCTCTTGCTTTACCAAGCATGGTGTCTTTTTCTAGCGGTTGGCCATTTCTCTTGACGTCTCTAAAGTAAGCACGTTGCAGTTTTACCATCCTTACTTCTAAGGAACATAATGATTGTATTTCTTCTAAGACTGATTTGTTTGTTTTTTTGGCATTCCACAGTATATTCAATATTCTTCACCAACACCACCATTCTAATATATCAGTTCTTCTGTCTTCCTTTTTCACTATCTAACTTCTGCATGTATACAAAGCAATTGAAAAGACCTTGACTTGAGTCACACGTTCCTTAGTTATCAAAATGACGTCTTTGCTCTTTGAAATGTTAAGAAGTCTTTTACAGCAGATTTGCCCAGTGCAATACATCGTTTGATTTCTTGACTGCTGCTTCCATGGGTGTTGATTGTGGATCCAAGTAAAATGAAATTGTTGACAAGTTCGGTTTTTTCTCCATTTATATGTTTATCAGTCCAGTTGTCAGGATTTTCATTTTCTTCATGTTCAGGTGTAATCCATACTACTACCTGTCTGTCAGTTTGTCATACTATGGTAACTTCCTGTTGCTGTGATAGCAGCAGGATCACCCATGGTGGATAGTTTTCAGTGGAACTTCCAGGCTAAGAGACTAGGGAGAAAGGCCTGGCCAACTACTTCTAAAAATTAATCAGTGAAAACGCTATGTATCACATCCAGTTTCCTGAATAGGCCAAGGCTATTTCCCCTTTCTGGTATCTGTGCTCAGTAGCTTGCTCTGCCAAGATTGTGCTCCTTGCAGGCCTCATCGCTCTCCCCCACCACACACAATCACTCATCTTTCAACTCAGCCCGAGGTCACCTTCAGGAAAGTATTCCTCACCCTTTGGAAAAACTGGTATGTCCCGCCTTTGTGCCCTTGTTTCTCTGTGAAAACCCTAAAACATTCTTTGCTGTGTGTGGTTTTTTCCTTTTCTTTCTTTTTTTTTTTTTTTTTTTGTAGTTTAAATGACGTTTACATTTCAAGTTAGTCTCCTATACAAAAATTTTTTAATATATTGTAGTAGGTTGCAGGCTTCTAGAGACTCAGGGCTGTCTTTTATTTATCTCTGAATTCCAAGGGTGAAAGTATATGACCTGGCACATTGTCGGTGTTAGCAATCATTTGTTGACACACAAATGAATAAACAGTATGTGCCCAAGGAGTGGTGTCTATTACTATCTTTTTATTTTTGTCTGGGTAGATTATATAGGTGGCTGCACTCAAGCTGGGCCTGGAGGGCATTCCAGAAAAAAGGGATTGCATTTCTTTCCCTTTATTGACTAATGGCTTACTTTATAAATGTTTTATTGCTGTATCATTTTGAGGGTGTTTGGGGACTTGGAACTATTTGGAAGAAAGCTCAAAATATAAGTATTAACCTAAGGCTAAAAGCATGTGTTTTTAAGGAAATATTCCATTTTGAAAATCATACCAGTGCCTGATGCTGATTTTTATTTTTTAAGTAATGTTCCATTTTGAAAAGCAATGATGTATTTGAACATACCTGAGCCTGGTAGGATTTTAGTGAACTTTAAGGAGAGGTGATGTTTATTTCCCCGGAGCGAAAACCGTTCTTTTGTTGTATACTTAAGGGATAATTACTTTTGCTTTGTAATGCAAAATTGGATGAAGAGTTTTCAAAAAATAATTCAAATATTATGTTGAGTATAGGAAACATTCCATTTACTAAGCAAATCATAATATTAAACTGCTCCCTTTACAAGGGTGAGGCAATTTATGATAGTCTTGTGCTGACTGCTATCTACAGAAGGCTCAGGGAGATGGAAGATAATTCAAAGACAAATGATGATAATGCTTTATTTCTAGCCTCAGTCTCTAAAGTTTGTTAGGATTTCTAACTGTTTTCAATATATTTGTATGTTTGTGTGTGTGTGTGTGTGTAAACATAATACGTTTCCACTCCACCTCTGTCAATCCCATCGCTGTCTATTACTGAGTTTTGTCTACTCTTGTAAGGGCCTCTTGAAAACATTAATTTCTTTACGTTACTTTGTCAAGCCCTTATGAGTTGCCCAAACTCTGGCCTTCCAACTCATTTCTCAGCTTTCAATTTCTTTCCCTGCTCTAAATCATCCTGTGCATTTTTACAGATTAACCATAAACAATGCTTTCCTAATATCACTCTTAGGTCAAAATATATGCATTTATGTTTAAAGACATATATACATACGTGTATATATCTATACATAGATCTTTATATAGGTATATGTATTATATATAGAGGGAGAGACAGAGAAACAGAAAGGAGTCCCCTAAATTGGAGACAAAAAGAAGGTGACTCAGTTCTGGGGTCAAAGTGAGTTCTGTTTTATGAAGGCTCAAAAGTTTTTTCACTCCTAGAATATGGTAAACTTCCAATTTAACCTCTAAAACCATCCACAGGTGTAAGATGTGCCAAGGTTTTTTTCTTTGAAATTCATTCATCAAACACTATGCTTAGGTGCTAGGGATTCAGGACAGAGATTCTGATTGTCCTTCAATCTCCTTTTAGCTGGCCACACAACCAGAATAAACTACTGTAGTTCACTGATTTTTTTGTATACCACCAAGAAATAGGAGTCCCTGGGCGGTGCAAATGATTAATCACTGGACTATTAGCAGAAAGGTTGGCATTTTGAACCTACCCAGAGGCGTCTCAGAAGACAGGCCTGGTGGTGACCTGCTTCCGAAAGTTCACAGCCTTGAAAACCCCATGGAGCACAGTTCTACCTACTCTGCACACATGAGGTTACCATGAGTCGGAATCAAGTCAATGGCAACTAACGAAAACAACAAATAATACCCAGGATGGGGAGTCTACTAGGATACCTGCATAAACATGTGATAGCAAGGTTTGCACTTTCAGAGCAAGGATAAAAGAGAAATAAATCCTCCAAAAGAAAGAGGCAGCAGAGCAACTTGCATGCCCCGTCTTGGCACTGGATGGAGGGAGGAACTGCCACTGAGAATCTGAGCCACAAACCGGTGCATATGTAGGTGTATAGTCTGAATTCACACAGTGAGCTCAAATAGAAAATGTGAAATGGTCTCAGGATGGTATTGTCCCTAGTGACTGGCAGAAGCAAATGCAAATGCTCTTTGGAAGAACTCAACTTCAATCCAGGCAAATAAGCAAGGATGGTGAGAGTTTGGCCCTCTTACTTTGGATACGTCATCAGGAAAGATGAATCGCTAGAAAAGACACCATGTTTGGTGAAGTCAAGGGTCAGTGAAAATGAGGGAAACCTTCAACAAGATAGATTGACACAGTAGCCACAACAATGAACTCTAACATACAATGATCACAAAGATGGCACAGGACCAGGCAACATTTCATTGTGTCATACGTAAGGTTGCCATGAGTCACAGCCAACCGTTCAGCAACTAACAACACTGTGTACTTACTGTTCTAGGCACTGGAGATGCAGCAAGGAATAAAGCTTACAGAAATCCTCATCTTCATGAAGCTTACATTCTAGTGTGGTAGATAGACACTAAACAAATACAGACTATCATTTCAGTGATAAGTGGTACAAAAGGAAAAGACAACAGCTTACAGGAATGAAGAGTAGAAGGTAGGGGAGACTGGTTTAGTGTGATCAGAGAAGACTTCTCTATCAAAGTGGTATTTGAGCTGAGACCTTAATAATATGAAAGATTAAACCATTAAAAAAAAAATCAAGGAGTAGGGTAGCATTCTAGGCAGAAGAAAATGGAAGCTTAATGGCTGTAAAGCAGGAAACACTGGAAGACCAACAAGAATGGAGAAGAGTTGTGCCTGAGGTCAGAGAGATGGGTACAGCCAGATCACGTGGGGCCATATTTTGCATGTATTGGCATACTTAGAATTAATCTTGTGGTTGAGAACTAATCTGCTGTTGGAAACAGGGTGAAAGAATATCACCTGCAGTATGCTTCATAGCTTCTCTAGCCCCAAGCTCTCAGGGAAAATAAGAAAATGGAGCCCAACCAAAACTACATATAGTTTGCATAATGACTGATTGGGGGTTTTTGTTTCATCTGCTAGAATAGGATAAGTACCTCCGCACTATTATAAGGGTATGGAGCATAACATGATGATGCATTTTCTCGTCATTGATAAGAGGATTTTAACAAATTTCTCGGCTTAGAATTTGAAAGCAATTTGTGTGACATAAATTACTTGGATAACACAATTCAGACCTTTGTGTAGTAGGCTGTGTGATTTTCATTGATAGTAGTCCGGCACTGTTTCCACAGTTACTCTTTCTTTTTTGTGTATATTCTGATTTTTAAAAATTTTGTTATAAACATATACATATATATATAGGGCCCTGGTGGTGTAGTTAAGAGCTACGGCTGCTAACCAAATGGTCTGCAGTTCAAATCCACCAGCTGTTCCTTGTAAACACTATGGTTCTACTCTGTCCTGTAGGGTTGCTATGAGTAGGAATTGACTCAATGCCAACAAATTTATATATATATATATATATATATAATTCTGTATCCTGTTTTTTTTTGCATTTACATATTGAAAATAAATTTCCATGTTAATACATGGTCTGCTATTACTGCAAATATTTAATGCAGTGAATTTGCTATAGTTTGGATCACGTCTCTGTTATGAACAGTAGGCCCATTTCACACTCTTTGTAAAGGGAAGTTTGAAGTTCTCTAAGAGGTGTTCTGAATACAATAACATTTTGTCACATACTTGTTTTTTCATTCATAAGGAAACGTTTTGGATTTAACGTCTCCAATTTTGTGCACAATAATTAGAAGAAAAGAAGTGACAAGTTTGAAAGAAGCATTGAAATTTCATAGTTAAAATGAAACACATTTTATGGATAAACAATATGTGGTATATACATACAATGGAGAATTATTCAGCTATAAAGAGAAATAAAGTTCTGAACATGCCACCACATGAACCTTGAAAATATGTTAAGTGAAATAAGCCAGACACAAGAGAACAAATATTATATGATACCACTTACATGAATTGTCTAGAATAGGTAAATCCATCAAAACAAGATTAGTGGTTACCAGGGGCTGGGGGAAGGAGAGAATGGGGAATAAAAAAAGAAAAGAAAAACATTTCATAAATTCACAAGAATGTAAAATGAAAACCAGATGAACTTTCGTATTTGAAGTTTAATTTTGGAGTCAGAATTTGTTAGACTTGTTTCTGTATTATTTCATTTTTAAAAAGAATCAGCCAGGAAATATTATAATTGCATGATCGATATCGAATGAGAAAATAAGCAAAGTCTGATTTTATTTGAAAGATTCTGAAAGCCCATTTAGAAATGATCTCATATGGAAATTCGAGTAATGTTGGTTACAAAACCAACCTCCACATTTCTCAAAATTGTATAAAGAAAGAATTGGTGGAGTATGACCTGGGAGTTTATTAAGGGCTAGTAGATTTCTTAGGAAGTTTCAGGTAAAACCAAACCATAAGCTGGCGCACAACACACCTGAAGGCGGGATTTTCCCAGACCTGCTCAAACCTGCCCAGCGAACCGCCCACTCCCTCGACCAACCTGCCCACGTCCATCCCGCGCCCTGAGCCTGGAGTCCTGCCCAGCGCTTGGGCAGCCGCGGAGGCGGACATGGGCCCGGGCGTGCGCGCCACGGACCGTGGGGCCGCGGCCAGGGGGCTGCTGCTCCGCACGGCCGCAGCCGCAAAGGGGCTTAAGGAAGACCTGAGGGGTGTGGCGGCCCAGCCCTGGAGAGGGCTGTCGGGGATCCCAAAGCAGGAGGGGCCTCAGGAGGAGGAGGCTGAGGCCGGACAGGAGCTCTGTGAGTCCTGAGAACAAAGTCTCAGAAAATGTGGGCGGTGGGCGGTGGGCGGTGGGGCTGACCTGGGCGAAGGGACTTGAGAAGGTGCCCAGCGCATTGCCTCTGCACGCTTGGGGGAAGAAAGTCCATGCGAAGACTTGCCCTGGGGTCCCTGCACTGACCCACCCTCTACTATGGCACTCCCTCTTGACAGGTTTTCAACTTTGGAATCCATGCTCACCCAAGTTTTGGTTCATATTTCCGCCTGTATTGAGGATGGAAGGAAAGTTATCACTCTTCCAACTTAACAAAGAAGATTATTAAAGAAATGATTAAGCTCTTTTGCAAATAAGGAAAGAGTTTCAAGTGCCCTGTCTCCTATACCCTGACTCATGCACTGGTTGCTTGACTTTAAGCAAGTCACTTAACCTTTCTGTACTTGAGTTTTTTCTAGCATGGTATGGACCATCTGTGTCTTGGGAATACATTTATAACATAAACTGGACACACTCTGGAAGAGTCCTCAAAGGTTGAGAATGAAGTCCAAGTCAGCTGGCTGGGATGGCCTCACTTCCTAAAGGTCAGCCTTGAGGCAGTGTACCAGTGACTTAATATAATGTACAATTAGTTTGTTCATTCGTTCTAGAAATATTTTTTAAGGGTCTACTATTTGCTAGACATGTCTAGGTGTGGAGATGCAGAGAGGATATAACAACTCCTGAGAACATGACAATGAAATTCACATTCTAGTTGTGGTGGAGGGTTGATAGACAACAAAACAAATAAGCAAAGAAATGAATAAGATAACGAGGTAGCAGTAAGTGCTGTGAGGGCCATAAAACAGGTTGATGTGACTGGAGAAGAACTTAGATTTGGTGGTTGTCTTAGTCATCTAGTGCTGCTATAACAGACATACTGCAAGTGGATGGCTTTAACAAAGAGAAATTTATTTTCTCACAGTCTAGTAGGCTAGAAGTCCAAATTCAGGGCGTCAGCTCCAGGGGAAGGCTTTCTTTCCTCCAGCCCTGGAGGAAGGTCCTTGTCGTCGATCTTCCCCTGGACTAGGAGCATCTCTGGGCAGGAACCTCTGCTCCCGGCGTTGCTCTCTTGGTAGTATGAGGTCCCCCATTCTCTGCTAGATTCCCTTTCCTTTTATGTGTTGTAAGATGAAAGGTGGTGCAAGCCACACCAGGGAAACTCCCTTTACATTGGATCAGGGATGTGACCTGAGTAAGGGTGTTACATCCCACCCTAACCCTCTTTAACCACAGGCAGAGATTATGATTTATAACACATAGGAAAAACACAAAATGGAGGACAACCACACAATACTGGGAATCATGGCCTAACCAAGTTGACACGTATTTTGGGGAAACACAATGCAATCCATGACATTGGTCAGGTAAGACTGCACATTTGAGCAGATACTAATAGGAAGGAACTAGCTATGGAAAAAGTTCAGGAGGAAGAGTATTACAAGTAGGAGGAATAGCAAATGCAAGACAGGAATGAAGTTGATACATTTCTAGAAACAGAAAGGAACATAAGGAGTGAAGGCGAGAATAACTGAGGTTGGGGAGGTAGGCAGAGCCAGTTCATCAACGTCTTGTGGCTGTAGTAAAGAAGCTTAGATTTCTTCTAAGTGTAACTGGAGGCTCTCAGATGGTTTTAGAAAGGAGTAATATATTGTGATTTACGTTTTTAAAAGCTCACTCTGATTGCAGTGTGGAGAATAGATTGTAGTGAGGCAAGAGAGGGAGCAGAAAAAACCAGCTAGGAGAGTTTTGGAGGAGTCACAGTGAGCATTGGTGGTAGCTTAGGCTATGGAAGTAATGGTGGAGGGGAGAAGTGGACTAACGTGGGATGTAGTTTAGAGGTAGAGGTTTTGCTGCTGAATTGGATGAGATAAAGAAAAAGATCCCTACGCTTGGGTAACTGGATGGATGATGGGGATATTTACTGAGATGGGAAAGACAGGGAGGGATGGGTTTTTGTTTTTGTGTTTTGAGGAGAGGCATGGAATCAAGAGTCTCTTTTGGCTATGTTATGTTTGAGCAGCTTATTAAAAACCACATGGAGATGACAAGTAGGGAGTTGAATAAGAATTACTGAAGTTAAGTGAAGAGGTCTGTATTAGAGGTATAAATTAGAGAGTCATTAGCATACAGATGGTGTCTTAGTCATCTAGTGCTGCTATAACAGAAATAGCACAAGTGGATGGCTTTTAACAAAGAGAAATTTATTCTGTCACAGGCTACAAGTTCAAATTTAAGGCATCAGCTCCAGGGGAAGCCTTTCTCTGTTGGCTCTGGTTTAAGGTCCTTGTGATCCATCAGTCTTCCCCTGGTCTGGAGCATCTCAGCACAGGAACCTCACGTCCAAAGGACATGCTCTGCTCCTGGCACTGCTTTCTTGGTGGTATGAGGCTCCCCTGTGTCTCTGCTTGCTTCTCTCTTTTATATCTCAAAAGAGATTGGCTTAAGATACTGTCCAGTCTTGTAGACCTCATCAGTATAACCTCATCATAGTGATAGAGTTTACAATACATAAGGAAATCACATATAACCTCAACGTAGTGATAGAGTTTACAGCACATAAGGAAGTCACATCAGATTAGACAAACATACAGTACTGGGAATTATGACCCAGCCAAGTTGATACACACATTTTTGGGGGAACATAATTCAATCCCTGACAGATGGTGTTTGAAACCATTAGAACTAGATAATCTAAGAAGAATGTGAGAGAGGAGAAAGGAAAAAAAGGTCAAGAGTCAAACCTTGTTTAAACAGACACAAAGGCACCAGCTGAGAAGACTAAAAAGGAGTGGCCAGCAGGGTAGGAGGAAAACCAGGAGAGTGTGGCATCACAAAGGCAAAAGCAAAGTGTTTCAAGAAGGAGAGAGTGGCCCCCACTTGTATCCACATCTGCAAAGAGGTGCAGTAAGATGAGGACTGAGATGTGTCTGGTACTTTGGCAATGTGGAGGTCACTGATGACATTGACAAGGGCATGCTGGGAACGAATGCCCAGAAGGACTGGGCTGAGAGAGGATGTAGAGGTAACAGCCCTGAGCTGGACATCTGAAAACTTGGGTTCTGCCATGAACTAACTCTGGGGCAGTGATCAAATCATTACATTTCTCTGGGCCTCAGGTACTTCATCTGCAATATGGACACATTGGGTATAGTGATGTCTGAGGCTCCGTACAATGTGAATGCTTTATGTCCTATTCGGGTGAGCAGAGGGACGAACGACATGGGAGGTAATTGCAACTACTCTCTTACATCACTCTTCACTTTGCTCAGGGACTGTAAATTACTCTGGGGCAATAGTTTTCTGACTTGCAACCACTAGCAGTTGCCACAGGTTTCTGGTGATGAGAAATTTCCCTCACAAAACAATCACAAACTTAAATTGTATTGCTCACATGTGTAGAAGGTTCTTCTATACTCAACTCTGTGTTTTCTGCAGTACTCTAGCTCAGCATCTTGCACCAAGCAACACTCAGTAAATATTTTCATAATTGCATTGTTTCTGAATTGTTTTTGAGTTGTTTGTATGTACTTTTTTTCCTAAACCGGAAGTCAGCTGTGACTGAGACATGTAGTTGCCTCCCGAACACCCATTTTCCCCTTCTTTCATTACAAAAGAACTCCTCATTTTTAGCTGGACATAAGGCCACCTGGAACAAAGTCTACATTCTCCACTTTCTCCAGTAGCCATGTGTAGCTATGTGGCTGAGGGATGGAATCAGAAGTTAGTATGTGCAACTTCTGGGAGGTGTCATTAAGGAGAAGGTATATTCCTGTCTTTGCTCCTTCCTTCTTCCTGCTGGTTGGGCTTCAGCCATAGTGACAGGAGCTCCACCAGCCACCTTGAACCATTAGGTGACTTGGGGAATGAAAGTTATGTTTGGTGGAGCAAAAAGATAGAAAGAGTCTGGGTTCCAGAAACTAAGAAGTAACTTAGACTGCCTCCAGACATCTTAAGTGTAAGAGAAAAAGAAACTTCTATCTTGTTTAAGCCATAGTGGAAAGGTTTCAGCAGAGCCCCCAGACTAAGACAGATGAGGAGGAAGGACCTGGCGATCTACTTCTAAAAAAATTGGCCAGTGAAAACCTTACGAATAGCAGCAGAGCATTGTCTGATATAGTGCTGGAAGATGAGCCCCTCAGATTGGAAGGCACTCAAAATGCGACTGGTGAAGAGCTGCCTCCTCAAAGTAGAGTCTACCTTAATGATGTGGATGGAGTAAAGCTTTTGGAACTTTCATTTGCTGCTGTGCCACGACTCAAAATGAGAAAAAACAGCTACAAACATCCATTAATAATCGGAATGTGGAATGTACAAAGTATGAATCTAGGAAAACTGAGAGTTGTCAAAAGCAAAATGGAGTGCTTGAAGATAGATGTCCTAGGCATTAGTGAGCTGAAATGTACTGGTATTGGCCATTTTGAATTAGACAATCATATGGTCTATTACGCCGGGAATGACAAATTGAGGAGGAATGGCATCATATTTATCATCAAAAAGAACATTTTAAGATCTATCCTGAAGCACAACTTTGTCAGTGATATGATAATATCCATACGCCTACAAGGAAGACAAGTTAATACAACTATTATTCAAATTTACGCACCAACCACTAAGGCCAAGGAGGAAGAAATTGAAGATTTTTACCAGCTTCTGCAGTCTGAAATTGATCAAATATGCAATCAAGATGCATTGCTAATTACTGGTGATTCGAATGTGAAATTAGGAAACAAAGAATGATTGCAGTTGGAAGATATGGCCTTGGTGATAGAAATGGTGTTGGAGATCACATGATAGTATTTTGCAACAACAATGGCCTCTTCATTAGAAATACCTTTTTTCGACAACATAAACGTCAACTATACACGTGGACTTCGCCATAGGGAATTACAGAGGAATCAAATCGAACTACATCTATGGGAAGAGATGATGGACGTCAGAGCAAGGCCAAAGGCTGACTGTGGAACAGACCATCAATCCCTCATA